AACCAAAGAAGCGGAGGCGCTAGACTAGCAATCCAATCTTCTGCCAGCCACACAACCATATTATTATGCTGCCGATTACTGTTGGCGTGAGCTGTCTAATTAGATAAGTAGAGAAATCTGTTTTTATGTAAATCCCATACTTCAAGGGCCATCCTTATTTTTAGCCACAAAATGTGTATAAGCTAGAATAGGTTCCAACAATTCCTCTGGCTTTGTATTTACATACGATTGTATTCAACTCTAAATGAATATACAGAAAAGACTTCCATTTTGACATGGTATCAAATCATGTCCTTAGGACCTCTGCCCAAGCCACCGTGTAACCAGGAATAACCCAGACCCTATAGACTCCCTGGCGGAGTCAGGAGACCTAACACAACCTCTCATTCCCCAGACCAATTCCATCCTTAACGATCTGACGACAAAAATGACGGAGGTCTTGGCTAGAGCCCAGACCTCCCCTCAACCTCTGCTTGCCGATTCTTCAACTACTCCAATCGGTATCAAGTTGGAAGGATCCAACTATGCCTTATGGTCCCAGGTTGTCGAGATGTATATCTCTGGCAAGGACAAGTTGGGATACATAAATGGAGATTCCCCTCAGCCTCCAGAAACCGATCCTTCATTCAGGAGATGGCGAACCGAAAACGCCATTGTCAAGGGTTGGTTGATCAATTTGATGGACCCTTCCTTGATTGCCAATTTTATCCGCTNTAAATGGACATTCCCCTCAGCCTCCAGAAACCGATCCTTCATTCAGGAGATGGCGAACCGAAAACGCCATTGTCAAGGGTTGGTTGATCAATTTGATGGACCCTTCCTTGATTGCCAATTTTATCCGCTTCCCAACTGCAAAACAGGTTTGGGATTCTGCTGCTACAACCTATTTCGATGGGACAGATAGTCTCAAGTCTATGATCTCCGGCGTCGTGTCACTCGTATGAAGCAAGCGGGTGGATATATTGAAAAATACTACAACGACCTTCAAGGGTTGTGGCGAGAAATTGATTTTCGTCGTCCTAACCCGATGGAGTGTGCTATTGACATACAAAAATACAACTCAATTCTACAAGAGGATCGGGTTTATACTTTCCTTGATGGACTAGATGACAGATTGGATAAAACTCAAAGTGATGTGCTCCAAATTAAACCATTCCCTACGGTGAAACAGGCCTACGCTTTTGTCCATAGGGAAGAGGTCAGGCAGACGGTGATGATCTCGGGTGCAAATACTACTCCAGGAACAGTTATGGCTTCCAAATGGCTTCCAAAGGGATCAAGGGAAGTCACCACCAGATGCCACCGAAACCAGGGGCTCTTTCTCTGAGCAGCGAAAAATCCAACCCCTCATCCAAAACCAAACCACCATCTAATGGCATAAAGTGTACCCATTGTGACAACTCCAAACACACCTGTGACACCTGCTTCAAACTACATGGGTATCCAGATTGGTGGAACGACTTTCAACCACAAAAAAAAGCGTAAAGCCTCTGCTAATGATGACCACACTGGGAGAGCTGCTGTGGTTACCTGTGATCCTTCGTTATCCCTCATCCCTCAAGTAGAATCTTCACATGAACCAGGTACTTCTAGTAAGGCATTTCATATCTCTACTCGCAATGATGATGATTATTGGATTCTCGACTCTGGAGCTACAGACCACATGACATTTGATTGAAAGGATTTCTCTAATACAACTCAGCCGAGACGGAGCTGTGTTGCAAATGCCAATGGGGTCACTTATCCGATTACAGGGGCTGGAACAATGACTTTATCTCCTTCCCTTTCATTATCTAATACATTACTTGTACCCTCTCTTTCAAACAGACTGATGTCTGTAAGTTAAGTTACTACAGATCTTAATTGTGTGGTATTTATGTATTATACCTTTTGCCTTCTTCAGGATATTCTCACCAAGGAGATGATTGGGCGTTGTACTAAGAGGGGGGGGTTATATCATGTGGATGACTTCAGTTCAGGAAGAGCAAATCACATGCACCACACGGTTGGTAACAAGGAAAGATAGATTTGGTTATGGCACCATCGACTTGGGCATCCATCATTTGGGTATTTGAAGCACTTACTGCCTGGTTTATTTTCCAATGTAACACACTTAGATTTTAAATGTGATACTTGTATCTTAGCCAAAAGTCATAGGGCTTCTTATCCCCTGAGTATGAATAAAAGTATGATTCTTTTTGATTTAATCCATTTTGATGTTTGGGGACCTTTCCCAGTAACTACGTCTTCTGGTCATCGTTGGTTTGTAATTTTTGTTGACGATTGCAAACGAATGACATGGCTTTACCTCCTAAAACACAAAGATGAAGTCTTTACTATTTTTCAATCATTTCATACCATGGTTCAGACACAATTTTCTACAAAAATTAAGATCCTTCGTTCTGACAATGGAAGGGAATATGTTAATCAACAATTCCAGCCATACTTCAACAGTCATGGTATTCTCCATGAAACCTCATGTTCACAAACCCCACAACAGAATGGTACTGCAGAAAGAAAGAATAAGCATATCTTAGAAACTGCCCGTGCTCTATTGATCAATGCACATGTGCCAAATAAATACTGGAGTGATGCTGTTGCCACAGCCGTGCATCTACTGAACCGTATGCCCACCAAAGTTTTGCAATTCCAGACTCCATTAAAGGTGCTTTCCGATCATGTCTAATTACCTAATGTTTTGATGATTCCTCCCTGAATTTTTGGTTGTGTTGCTTTTGTTCACGTCCATAAGAATCAACGAACTAAGTTGGATCCATGTGTTGTCCAGTGTTTATTTTTGGGGTATGGAGTACACAAAAAGGGATATAGATGCTACGATCTCATTGCTAAAAGAATCTACATTACCATGGATGTCACTTTCCTAGAATCTAAAAAAAAATTTCCATCACCGATATCCAATTCCCCTCTCCAGGGGGAGATCTATGGTGAAGAACGGAATTGATCTGATGTTGAAGTGCTGGACATTGATGACAATCTAGCACATCCGAATGATGACGACGACATGGTTGAACCTGTACCTAGAACTGAAGCTGAACCAGTACCTGAATCATGGGAAGATGCAGAATCTGATGAATCCCTTCACTCTTTAGTACCCAACGACCCTCCTACTGAGAATATCCCTGAGGTAAGCTCTAGTACCTTTACAAACTAATGTTATAGATACATCTGCGGGTTATGTCCTACCTTTCAGACACAATCGAGGCAAGCCACCAAATCGATACTCCCCAGACATAGAAGAACGGAGATCCAAGTATCCAATAGCCAATTATGTGTCTATTCAAAGATTATCTGAACCTCTCAAGGCTTTTGCATATACACTCTCCTCATGTCAGATTCCGAGTAGTGTTGAAGAAGCCTTATCAGATCCGAAATGGGCCCGAGCTATAAAAGAAGAATTGGAGGTGTTGCAGAAAAATAACACATGGTATTTAAGTGTGTTGCCTGAAGGAAGGAAGACTGTGGGGTGCAAGTGGATTTTCTCCATTAAATATAAAGCAGATGGGTCTATTGATTGATACAAGGCGAGGTTGGTAACAAAGGGTTATACACAGAAATATGGTATAGATTATCAAGAAACTTTCTCACCGGTAGCCAAACTAACAACTGTTAGAGTTCTGTTATCTCTTGCAGCAAATTTAGATTGGCCATTGCACCAACTGGACGTGAAAAATGCCTTCCTCCATGGTGATCTTGAAGAGGAGATTTACATGGATATTCCACCAGGTTTTTCTGCTACCTCAGAGGAAAAAATCGCATGTAGATTACAACGAGCATTGTATGGACTAAAGCAATTACCTCGAGCATGGTTTGGCAGGTTGAGTTCGGCAATGAGGAAATATGGGTTTCAACAAAGCAATTCTGATCATACTCTTTTCCTAAAACATCGAGTGCGAAAAATAACAGCCCTCATAGTCTATGTAGACGACATGATCATTACAAGGGATGATGTAGAAGAAATATCCAGGCTTCAAGAGCAATTGTCAACTAAGTTTGAGATGAAGAACTTAAGAGGGCCTAAATATTTTTTTGGGCATTGAAGTGGCAAGGTCAAGACAAGGCATATTTCTTTCCCAAAGGAAATATATACTAGACTTGCTGGCAGAGGTAGGATTACTAGAGTGTAAGCCTGCTGATATTCCAATTGTCCAAAATCATAAACTTGGAGAATATGTAGACCAGGTACCAGCGGACAAACAGAGGTATCAACGGTTAGTGAGTAAACTCATCTATTTATCTCATACTCGGCCAGATATTGCTTATGCTGTGAGTGTAGTGAGTCAGTTCATGCACTGCCCGAGTGAAGACCATATGGATCCCGTAATGCGGATCCTTCGTTATTTGAAGTCTTCTCCTAGGAAAGGGCTTATGTAATCAAAGAATGGTCATTTGAATGTTGCTGGCTACACAGATGCGGACTGGGCAGGGAACATCACGGACAGGAAATCTACTGCTGGGTACTTTACTTTTGTGGGAGGCTACTTGGTTACATGGAGGAGCAAGAAACAAAAGGTAGTTGCCTTGTCTAGTGCTGAAGCTGAATTTCGGGGAATGGTCAAGGGAATATGTGAGCTCCTTTGGCTGAAAAGCTGCTAGCTGAGATCGGTGTTGCTCCCAGTTCTGAAATGAACTTGTTCTGTGATAACAAGGCGGCCATTGCCATCTCCCACAATCCGGTCCAACATGATCCCACTAAGCACGTTGAGGTGGATCGGAACTTCATCAAACAGAGCCTTGAAGAAAAGATTATTCAGCTTCCATTTGTTAAATCAGAAGACCAGTTGGCTGATATACTTACAAAAGCAGTGTCTGCAAGCAACTTCTACAACTCACTTGACAAGTTGGGCATCAGAGATATCTATGCACCAACTTGAGGGGAGTGTTGGCGTGAGCTGTCTAATTAGATAAGTAGAGAAATCTGTTTTTATGTAAATCCCATACTTCAAGGGCCATCCTTATTTTTAGCCACAAAATGTGTATAGGCTAGAATAGGTTCCAACAATTCCTCTGGCTTTGTATTTATATACGATTGTATTCAACTCTAAATGAATATACAGAAAAGACTTCCATTTTGACAAAAAATATTATTGCATAATCATATTCTTACAATATAATATGCACTATCAGATTAAAAGGAAAAACTGGAACTGAGAGATACAAAACAACAGACAGAAACATATCAGTACATGACCTTATTTACAGGTATATGTATAAATACATACTATGCATCATTGGGATGGGGTTTCCGTGTTTGGGATAGAATTCTGGGAAGCACCCTCACAAACATTGCTTCTGCAGAGGGGGCATACCCTGAATCACCAGCAAAGGAGCAAGAAGTGGGAGCCACTTTACATAAGAAATTATATTTCCACTGAAAGAAAAAAAACAGCACTCGGATAAAGTAAAAACAACAAAAGGTATGGATGAGAAAAAATACCCGTTTATTTCTTTGAGCCATTTATCAACGCATGACATATGATACTCATGATGGCAAGGGAGAACTCTTAATTTATCCCCTTCCTCGTACTCAGCCAAGCAAATGTAACACCTGTTAATCATATCACTACTACGTGATGCTGAGGATTTAGATTTGGTACTTTTACATGATAATATACAATTGGTCTTTATTGAGCTACTCAGAAAGCAACTTCCATAAACAAACTACCAATCTTCCTTTCAAAATCAGTAAAAGGACCATTAATGGCCAGAGAATTGGGGATGAAAAAAGAAAGAAAAGGGTGGGGGGGGGAAGAAAACTGGAAAAGAAAACAGTGAGATTAACTTGGCACAGTCTATTGACAAAATGCAATAAAAAATCTTATGAAGACAACTAAAAAAATGCCAATGCTACCCATATTTTTACATGCGTTTTGCATAATTCCTAAATGTATGAATCCTAATGATAATTTCAAGATAGAACCATGGGGTACTATTTTCCACCTTCTATGGTGCTTTTATTATACCTCAAATTCATTAGGCAGCAAAATGTTTTCCAGAACCTTAATTCTTTAATACAAATATTAAGGATAATCACCGAGAAATGCCCCCCCCCCCAAAAAAAAAAAAACAAAACACTGGTTTACCTAAGATTAACCAACGTTCGAACAACACAATCTCAAAGTCTAAAGCATATTCCTCTTGGAGTGATACAACATGCCCAATAAATAACCACCAAAAAGTCAATAAAAATGTCAAAGTCACATGTACCACTTAAAACTAGCTTTTCAAATTGTGAAAATAGCATGGTATTAGGAAGCAAGCAAGCACGGAACATCCAACTTTAGTTCAAATGGACATGATGAGCTTATTGTTCTACAAAGTAGACCACCTGCATCCTCAACACTATATTTAGTCAACGGCTAAAACTACATCTTTCTTTGAATGTCAAGACTACTATGTGTCAAACCAAAAAAAAAGAAGTCTACTATTTGTTTTGGGGTGCTGCACTAGATAGCCAAATCAGTCTTTGGTATACAGATGTCTCTATTGGAATTTTAAAAAGCACTTATTTCCAAAGAAGACTGTTACGCTATTTATCAGTTTGCAGAAAAAATACATCTAACTGTGATATAAGATACTTCCCCAATAGCACCATATACCATAAGGGAATTCTCCTCTTTTCACTTTGAGAAGACGAAGAGATGATATCTAATAAGATTTCAACCCATTTATATATTTCTTGAAGTTGAACTTAACTTGCACCCTTCCAGCCTGCAGTTTCTATATAATCTGAACACCAAAGAGAATCAACATTCGAATCCTCTCATTCATATTACTAGGGGCGGACTAAACTGTGTAATTTTTCCATCAAAAACCATTGATTGCAAATGAACCAAGGTGTAATATCTTCCCATCAATAATTTATGAAAACTTACTGTGGCACATCATTTGGTCCACTTTCAGCTGCATCTAACTTTTTGTGATTCTTAAGAGGAAATGAGTTTACAACAGACTCTGGAGCCGGGAGATTGAGCATGGATAGTGAAAGAGGCTGGCGATGAATCTCATCCAAAACCTACAAATTAGACATCAACAAATGTACTATAACTATCAGCTTAATTTATAAAAAAACCAGTGCATTTATAACTCCAATACATTTACAACAGGAAACAAAAAAGTTTTTTGCAAGTAGAATTAAAAGTACCTTTATTACAGCCGTACGACACCACTATCTGGTAAAAGTATATTAACATACCTATTTTTCACAATATATAACTAAATCCACAATACAGTATGATTTTAAATTTCCAAAATCTTCTTATTATTTCTGTTCTACCACAAAAAGAATAAGGAATAACTTACAAAATGCATGTAATTATCACTAATGGCCCACTAGATATCTGAACAATCCAAAACCCAAAAGCTGGTGGAAGGTACCACAATGGTCTGATCAAGCTTTTTCTAAAAAAAATTGTTAACCATAGTTTTGTCAAGCCATTAGGTCAATTTCTTATTTGATTCAGGTCACATAAGGTGCAGTATAGCACATGTAACTAACCCAGAGATTGTCAGACCAAACAACTTAATTCATCCCTGAGGGAGCATATTGATGATAAATGGAAATGGAAGCATTCCATCACCTGAGATTTCATTAGATAAATTTTTCTAAGTCATCAATGAGGGACCCTTTTATGTTGAAGGACATGGAAGCATTTCACTGTTTGGCACCACATCAGACAAATTTTCACTTCAATTCAATTTTCTCAATGCAGTCAGACATACTACAGATACACCAGCCAAACATATCCCATAAGCCCAATAATCATAAATATCTTGTCACCAACTGTGAGAAGGATTCATTTACATAAAAACAAGGCCTATATAGTGCAACTTAAAACTCCCAAAGTGTAAATTCCAAATTCGTAGGAGTAGATACAAACATACATAAGAATAAAAAACTTGAATATTACCGACTTTAAAATGCAAGAACAGCCAATGCAATATAATTTAAACAATTTAGCTAGGAAAAACATGGAATATTTGAAATCGACCTCGAATAAAGCCTCAGCAAGCATGACTATCCTTGAAATACTTGCAAGGGCGCTGGACTCTGCAGCCATATCAAACGAATCACATGAGCATGTACCCTCAGGATGGAGCCCAGATGAACAAAATGCCGTCTGCCGAGCTTCCTCACCAAGGCCACCAAGAACTCTTTCTGAGATCTATAAAGATATTGCAGGAAATTGTCAAATAACCTCAATGTCCAGGAAAAAGAAGGGCGAGGGGAGGTTTTCCAACGCATGAACAGCATGGTAAGCGGTTAGATGGGTTTCCAACCTAAAATATTTGCTATTTTTTTTTATCTCACCATCCTCCACAAATTAGAACATAATTTCACACAAACGTGCAAATCCTGCGCTTATGAAAGGAGACAAACACGAGCATTTGCACGCACAAGTTCAATGATGAAGTTGAATTAATGTGACCAGAACCTAAATCTTAATTGAAATGGAAGTGATATGATAGGTCAACCACCTCTAGAGTGAAAACTTTCACAGAATGTGGCAAATTAAAATTCCATCAACTTCCATCCAAATTTTGCAACTAAAATATACCATTGCCAGCATGATCAAAATCAACAAAATTCAAGAAAACAAAAAACAAAATTACAAATAGTATCCTTGTGATATGAAGGAAAAAATGCTAACGGGCAGAAAAGGACAGTAAATTTTGGATGGAAATCAATAAAAGAATTGTGAGATGTCTACCTGTGAATTTGCCATTTTTAGGTCAACCACTAATCAAGTTCGTCAACAATATTTTTGAGTAAATAAGTTTTTCACTAAAGAATATGTAACAAAAAGAGGGCTAGTACATAACCTGGGATCTTAATTGCCAGCGCCGTTCATTTCTGCGATGGCTTCTAAAGCCCGGGTAAACAGAATCACGACCAATTCCATCATAGTGGAGATCACCACTCAAATCTAGAAACCATCTGTCATGAGATCCTAGATCATCAGCATGATCAGTTGTGAAAACGATTGTTGGTGAATCACTATATCTTCTAAAACTGCGCCTTGATAAAGCATCCCAAAAGAGTCTTCTACTATTCCTTCTCGCTTCGCGGTTACTTATTTCATTGATGCTACTAGATAACAGGTTGGAAGAGATACTCACCACATCAACATGATGTAGGTCTCCAGTTCTGAGATCCTGCTCAGTATCAGACACAAGGTGTTCTGAACCAGAAGGTGATGCCAATCGAGTAGTGTCATCTCCAGCCAACTGAAGACTTACTACAGGGTGAGGATCAATGCAATGAGACCCAGAATTAGAACTGCTAGAGGCTATGACTGCAGCCACAGAATTTTCGGCAAAATCACCTTCTGCACATAAATCTGCACCCTCACGTGCAGCACTGCTTGTATTTGTATCCTCCAAACAATTTATCGACGCACCTTCGAACACTGAATCATAAGCCCCGACACCTGCAACCAAGCTAATCCTTGTGTTTGCTGACACCGAATCTTGATATGGCTGTTCTTTATAGGAAGTACTAGCTGTATTACTACCCTTATCCAAATATGCATCCTTGGAAAGACAATCAGAACTTACCTGACAAGAAACTGATTCCTTACTGTTGGAAAGGCAAGTCTCGTGGCTATTTGATTCAGCATTTCTCAAACCATATTCAACTGAAGCATGATCAATGGTTCCATCACTGATTTCAGATGAGTCCCCACTCTCAGTTTTGGAACTGGTCACTCCAGTTTCCGAACCAAATATTGAAGTTTCTGCAATGGAGCTCCAAGATTCATCACTAACAGGAGGTAAATTTTCTAGAGAACTTATCGGTGACTTTTGTGGATACTCTTCAAACTGCAGGAGAAGAATTTCACAACACATCGATATCAGCTCTAAAAATCCATTTACTCCCGGTTTCATTTAAATGCAATTATGCTGTAACAAGAGTGAAGATGGAAGATGAGCAGCAAGTCATGATTAATGAAACAGTTAACTTTTAACTGAAACATTGACATGTTTCAACCCTAATTTTCACTAAAGTCCAGGCAAAATCAACATACAAATACTGATTATAGGGAATAAACTTCTCATAAAGCCATAAATACCAAAAATACGAAAGAAACAAAATCAGAATGGAAGCTTTTAATATACACACAATCTCTTAACACATAACAAAGAACGATCATACACAAAGGTGGTTGTGAGACTAAATCATTTCATTAGAAAATAAGAATGACCATGAAATTTTATAGAGGTTTTTTACATCAACCGATCAAGATGAAACCTTCAACACATAAACCCAAACAGAGTAACCGCAAATAACAACTATAGGAGTCCTTTCATTAACTGATCAACCACAGACCTTCTGTATAAACTTCAAAATTACCCAATTGAAAAAACACAAACAAAAGGTTTTCTCTAACAACAAAATCAATTTTAATCTCTCACACACATACAAATATACTTGTGTGTGTGTGTGTGTGTGTGTGATGGATTGTATGATACCTCAGACGGTGATTGAGAGGTAGTGCCACCACAGAAAAGCGAAGAGAGTCTATGTTTGGTGCGACCGAGTCTGGAGGAAGACCCAGATGAGCGCGAGGTTCCCATGCGACTGCTACTTGAACCCATTTTCAATCCTTGAGAGAGAGAGAGAAAGTTGAAGACGAAAAAGATACGAAGTCGTCGTTTCACTGGTTGGAGGTTTCGTATGAAGGTGGTGGCAGATTGTCTGTTGTGTTGAAATCTCAGACCAAGGTACAGGTGTCAGCTCTTTTGTGGGCCTCCTTTTTTTCTTTTTGGAAAAATAATTGTATTAAATTAAGTAATAATTTAGACCAAGAATTAAATATTTCGATATTCGAGCATATCAAAATGAGTGGGTAATTGAATCGGAATTGTAAAACTTTGAGATATTACGGTATATTTTTATCTATATTTCAAAATATTTTGAAATATTTTAATATATTTTGATTATTATTTTAAAATATTTTTAAACTAAAATTTTCAAATATTTATCCGTTTTGATTATATTTTTAAAATATTTTTGAAAAGTTTTTGTTTTTTAGGTGACTTTAATTCTTGATTTAAAAAAAAACATTATCCTATGAATTCTGAACATAACCACTAAATCCTACTTAAAAAACGATTTAAATAAATCATACATAGTAAATTCTTTTCTTATCCCTAATAGTTTAAAAAAAAAAAAACTTACTTTAGGGTGTCCGGGCCGACTAATCTCTTAATCTTGGATATTAGGCATCGTAACTCAAACATGTTTAGAACATATCTCAAGTTTACCACTGTCGGAATTTATTAGAAATAATTATAAATTGGTAAAAATTCAAGAACGCAGTCTAGCGATAATTTTCACATATTCGAAAACATTTAGAGTCATGGGCGGAGCCAGTATATGCCCAAGGGGGGCACATGTTCATCCTCAAATTTTTTTTTTAAAATTATCTATATGTCACCCTATTTTTTTGGCACATCAATTAGTGTATACTTATATTAAATGAATATAAAATTTTTAACATATTTTGGAAAGGTTATGTACCTATCTAGATAAATTTTAAATATACTAGAATTATTTTATATTTTTTAAGACTAAAAAAAACATGATATACATATTCGTTAGTTTACTTGTGATTTTAACATTTATTTTTCTTAATTATGGTAAAAATTATAGAGTGCACATTGAACTGTATAATCAATCGAATGAGTTATAAATATCAAAATGATAACATAATTGTGTATATAAATAATTAGCCTATATTTTGTAAAAAGAAAAAAAAAATGTTGTTGTTTGTATATACTAGGCTTACCAAATTTTGGTATGTTGAATTTAATGAACTTTTAAGTTTTAAGTATTAAATATGATGTAATTAAATATATATTATTGTCCTATTTCTCTCGATTGTAAGAAAAAAAAATTAGTTTGTTGAAATATTCGTGCCCACCTTGACACAATTTTCTGACTCCACCCGTGTTTATGGTGAAGTGAAGTTTGAGCATATTCATATATTCTCATTAAAAAAAATATTAATTCTAATAAACAAGAATCTCCACAACTTACAAGGGCGATCACCACTTGTTACCCTATTAATCCTTCCTTGCTTGTCACAACATGGAAACAAAATTTTGATATAAGGGTAGAAATTAGTCGCTTAGAATTATCGAACATACCGAGATAATAAGAAATATAACTTTGCAGTGAAACTATTTCAAACAAAAATAATTAAAAAAATTAAAGTAACATGGTTCACTCCATTACCCTACTCAAAATTGCATAGACATAAGTACCTTAACACAACCAACCATAATTTCAACCAGTGTTCTCTTCAAATTTCAAACCAAACCATCAAATAGAAACACATTATTATGTATGTGTCTTTGGCCATATGATTTGTTTGAATTGGCTTTAAGAAAACAAATTATTAATACATAGGTGATCTAATTAGGAATAACATGGTGTTTAATGGGCAATTTGGCGGGTGATTTAGTATGCTTCGATGGCGATAACTCGGGCGATTTAGTGTGCGATTTCTTGGTTGATCTCGATTTAGCAGGTGATCCAAAGTGTGATAATTTGGGTGATGCAGCATGTGACGACAACTCGGGCGATTTAGTGTGCGATTTCTTCGTTGATATCAATTTAGCAGGTGATCCAAAGGGTGACAACTTGGGTGATTCAGCATGTGGCGATAACTTGGGCAATTTAGCATCTGATTTCTTCATTGATGTCAATTTAGCAGGTGATCCAAAGGGTGACAACTTGGGTGATGCAGCATGTGGCGATAACTTGGGCGATTTAGCATGTGATTTCTTCATTGATGTCAATTTAGCAGGTGATCCAAAGGGTGACAACTTGGGTGATGCAGCATGTGGCGATGACTTGGGCGATTTAGCATGTGATTTCTTCATTGATGTCAATTTAGCAGGTGATCCAAAGGGTGACAAGGGTGACAACTTGGGCGATGCAGCATGTGATTTTGATGAGGCAATGACCTCCCACTTCTTGGTCTTGTCATTCCACAAGTTGTAACCAGTGTTCAACAACCTTATTGAGCATGTGTTCTCACATCTCTCATTGTCCTGTTTTGAGTCATACAACTTTACAAGTTTGCTATCATACAAGCCCAGACAGAATGCTTGTGTCAGGTTCTTTGGGATTGGCACTTCGGCTACTTCTTTTGGGGCAATTTTGTTGACATAGAATGGTTTTCTGTGGGAGGATTTGTGGAAACATGTGATGCGTGCTTTCTTGTGGTTTGAGCTCCGGTTCTCGACCACGAGCTTGTCAGCCATGGCCGACCAGGGTGCTGCGAATAGCAAGAGGAGGGCGGCCATGGCGACGAGGGGCTGGTGGGTCAACATGGTTCCTCTGGGGGGGTGATAGCTGTAAGAGATGCAGCCCTTCTTGGCTTTTATAGAAGTTTTCTGGGCATAAATGGTTTTAACTGTTGCATGAAATTAAGAGGGTATTTATGTATGGTGTTAAACCAAACTGATATCATGTTTTGAGGAGTTACTAACACACAAATGGATAAAATTATGTACACCAAAAGCGTACACCAAATCACCTGTAACCATTTGATCAGTAATAGAACTCATTGATCCAACAACTACAGATGATTTGGTGCATATTTTAATGCACACTTTTGGAGTGTATAGCATTGCTCAACACATATTGGTCGTGTGGGAACTAAGATAGTGTTTTTGTTGCATGTGTCTTGAAATTTACAAGCCAATAGGGTCCAACAAGGGTGGACATAGCCGAATCTATGTCCTCTTGCTACATTTTTATTCAATAGTTGATCATATACCATTAATACATATGCGACCCTTCATGTACTAGTGGTCCCTTCACTTATACATGATGGATGATCTGTTATTGAATAAAATTAAAAAAAAGTACAACGGAGAACATCTCAATCCAACATGGCCCGAACCAACCACAAAAAATGTAGCCCAATTGCAGCTCGGAGTTCAGACTAGGCCCCGACCATGGGCCATTATGTCATTAATATGTCAAAAATGTAATACATACTCTTAATTTTCATATTATCACATGAAAACATATATGAATTTTAGATAAAAAAAAATAATGTATACATACATAAATGAGCCCGGTAAATCAGTCCATGGGCTAGAACTCTGGGGCCTAGAACATCAACCAAAATATTAGGCCCAGTCCTTAAATTGGGTAGGAATGGGTCAAGTTCATTTCACGACGAAACAGGAGTCATGTCCGAATCCTTGTCCAAATCTTATTATCTATCCCACAATTCATCCGGTGACTCCTCGATAGCTAAAGAAGTCCCCAGAAACATCGAACATTTTCAGAGAGTAATTCTTATTATCTATCCCAAAATTCATCCGGTGACTCCTCGGTCGCCAAAGAAGTCCCAAGAAACATCGAACATTTTCGATGAGATTCAAAGAGTAATTCTCAGATAATAAGAACTAGTTTTACGTACGACTTTATAAAGCAATTAAAGTCAAGATCAAATAGAATGAAATGGGGGAAACGGGCCAAGCTGTCCAGTCCATAGCCTCCCCTAATACCTAGGCTTTTTATTCTACTGGATGATAATGCACCCCTTCAAGAGAAAAAAGAAAAGGAAAAACCCATTCATTTAGTTAGATGTAGCCTTCCAATTATGTTATAAGACCGACAAAGAAATGTCACAAAAGCGATTTGAGCCACCGCTGGCCCGCTGCCTAAAAAGAAGCTAAAAACTTTATTCTATCCCACAACTCCTCTTTATCTTTACTTTCAAAAATTCTGCGATTCCTCTCCAACCAAACACCTCTCCAAAGCGTCGAAGCTTTTTTCCACTCCCAAATCCTTTATAAAACGCACCCCCAAAAAGAGGGATCAATTTCGATCCACCTTTTCTGAGCACCCTAAATTAAGGGGGATCAATTTCGATTGCCATAGGAGAAGGACACCCAGTGCCGTTGGTACCATCCCCACTCACAAATTCGAGTTTCATACGACTAATTTTGATAAGCCAAAACATGATTCAGTGTCAATCAACATTGAGAGAGATAGAAGAAAGAGGACATCCAAAAAAAAATAGACTGACCACCCATCCGGAAAAGGAACTATAGAAAGGGCTGATGGCAATGCAATGGAATTGGTGGGTGTGATATAGCTATCCACCGCCGGAGTTTTAAGAACCTGGCGGTCCCCACAAGATTGGCTAGTCCCCCGACTAGATGAATCCAACTTAAAAAACAAAAAAAAAAAAAATCAAGTGTTGCATAATTATATAAGACAACATTGAAAGTGCTTAAAAGATCATAAATTCAAACAAAAACTCTGAAAACAAAGGAAGGACACTATACATAACAGTGGGCATGTGTGTAAAATTATCCTTATNTTAAAAGATCATAAATTCAAACAAAAACTCTGAAAACAAAGGAAGGACACTATACATAACAGTGGGCATGTGTGTAAAATTATCCTTATCTTTATACCTTTAAACAATNTAGAGAGAGAGAGAGAAAGTTTAGAGCAAGAGAGGTGTGTCGGTAACTAAGAGATTGGGAAAAAAACATGGATTTGAGAATTTTTTTTAAAGATCATTTACTAATGATTATTACAAACGTAGTTAATATAGTAAGAATTGGACTTTGTTTTGCGGCGTTTTATGGTAATCGTTGGTCTTTATCGGCATTTCGCCACATGCCAGCGATTAAATGCTAGTAAA